ACAATATTTTGGGGGGATATGGTCTGTCACACGCAAGAAGGATGCGAAACGTGTCGTCAACCATTGTGAGTAGTGACCGTACCTAAGCCATGCACTCTACTCGAGTCATCGAAAGTGAGCACAGAGCCATGTTAAACATACGAGTGAGCGGTGCATTTGTGTTTTTTCCATTGGCATGAGGAGTGAATTTGAGTTTTGAGGTAGGCAGAGATCTCACGCCCGGTGTTACCTTGGACCCGCCTCCGTCCAGCATGACAGGAATGGCTCGAGACTTTTGGGGCCGCCGATGAGCCGACATGCGGTGACAGCCCCCTGGATGCTGTGAAGTCCCATGCGCCGCTCAGGGCCTCCTTAAGCGCCAAGAGCCCTTTATATCGCCACGGCCTTCTGGATGCACATAGTCCTCTTAGGTGCCCCGGACCCGCCTCGTTCCTCAAGGGCCCTCTGTTCGCCCATGGGCGTCTCAGCTGCTCCCAAAAGTGGGCCAGTTTATACGAAGTCCTACCGACATGAAAAGAAGCGTGTAAAAGCAAATGGTTAGTGCTTTCCAGACAGTTCAATCCACGGGTGTCGATTTGTATTAGTTTGTGAGCCCCCCCCCCCCCTTGTTGAGCTGGGCCTCCAATGCTGGCTTGACCCCCAAAAACGGAATGCTATGAGAAAAGTGGATTAAAGATGAACATAACACAAAGACTATCTTCTTTGATCTCTCTGCGAAGTGCCGCCTCGTACCACTATAACAAAGAATCATGGTTGCTCTCATTGCAAGATAAAATCGTAACAGCTGAGCGGATAAACGATGCAATAAACTTCACACGATTAGCGCCATAAGGCACACAGCGGTTTGTGAGGTTGAAGTGAAAAACGCTGGAATATGGGGGTGACTTAAGTCCTTCATGGCTAACCCCGTCCCCGTTCCTCACGACCAAAATGCGTGCCGCCTCCCATGACCGTCATAGTAGAGCGCCATCAGTGCCCCAAGGTGGCCTCTAAAGGGGCACCTTCACGTGCCGATCAGAAGCGACGCATGCGTCCAGTGCCTGCTCCCTGGACCCAACCCAACGTCCGTGTAATGAAAATAAGGTGGGCTAAATCCGGTGAGAAAAATGGGAGGGGGGGGGAGGCTGTCGGGCCTTTGGTTCGGCCACCCCCATTAAGCTACAAAAATTGACACCCCTGATTTAATCCTAGGTCCGCAAGTTTGGGTATAATTTGGCTGATTTGAGCTGTTAACTAAAACTTCCGTACACCTTGGGCGCAAACAAATGCTGGTAAACAGTGCTGCTCAAAAGAGTATTTACGTTTGACTGCACAGCATACTCGAGACAGAAATTTGGGTGCGGATTTCGTTTCGTGAAATCAAGAAATACTCATCAAGCTTTCTTTGTTTGCAAGTTGGATGGTTCTACACTCTGGTCTCCATCATAGTTCTTCGCAACGAGAGTTATTCGTTTTTTTTTAAATATCGTGATCAAATGGTAACAAATTTGCCCAAAACATACGTTTCTTAAATTCGGGGTGGGAAGATGGTGGCTTTTTTATGCTAAACTGAGCATTATCACCGCCTCGGGCCTCTAGGTCCTGAATGCCCCAGCTTTCGAAAGCGATCTCTATCAGCCCTAGCTCAGGGTCCGCTGGCCGTGCCACTGAAGCAATCAATAATAAAACGGCCGTAATGGCTATCTCAACATAGCCAAGCATCCAGTTTTATGTTTCTATTAGGGTATACACATTTAAATGATCGGATTTTGACACAAATAACCGATTAGCAATCAGACAAATGCAAGGCAGGGCAGACAACACGCACGCCTCATCCTAATGGGGACTAGATTTCTTTCTAGAAAAGGCGGCTCACAGGCTAGATCGCTGGGCTAATGCAGCTTTTTTAATATCATGACCTCTCATGAAAAATGAATGTCATAGCATCCAATAAGGTAAATTATGCTGCGAGGCATTGACTGAAATTTGCTATTGAGGTATATGACCAAAGTAAACCGGAGCGACTTAGAAGATGCTTCTGTGGTATGCAAAACATTGCAGTAGGGCTGAATTTGATACTTGCACAAAATTCAGTGTTGTTGCCGCCATGGTTGCGAGTCTCCACAAGTTTGCGGCACGGCTGAAATTCGTGGAATTCAGTTTAAGACGCAGTAACATGCTATTTTTCTGAAAAATATTGCTGAAAAGATACTGCGCAATAGTATGCCGTGTTGCACAGTTAAACGAGAATGTGCTGGTCATCGCCCTAATACCGTGTTTCACAAAAATCCGACAGGATGCACAGCGCCGCATTGTCTCGTGCCTGGAGACATAACGTGCCTGTTCGATATTCCATGAGCCATGGTTAGCGTACGAAGCATTCTGTTGCAAATGGCTATGACATATATATATATATATATATATATATATACATATGTATATATTGATGCCATGAAAAACTCAGCACAAAGTTCGAGGACTGTATCGGTGTTTATAGGTACAGACTAATTCAGGTTATTTAATGTGTTAAAAATGTGTCATAAAAACCTGTTGTATCACCATCTATAATCGAGAAATTACTTCAACAAATTGCTGAAGTGAGCTCCAAAATTGGGCTCGGTAGCGTCCAAAAGGCTTAATAGAAGCACTGTTACTGAGTAGTTCATGTAAACGCATTTGACCGATTGTGCCACTGAGCGAGCTAATTTCTCGTCGTGCCACTTGTTGGAAGGGGAGAGGGAGCATGATTAGGTTCCAGGCCCCGGCACGATTCCTGAAGCTGATGAGCGCGTTCCTCGGACGCCCAGTTTTGGTGCGTAGACAAGACGTCTTCCTAACTGCATCGTGAGACTACCAGTTGGCCTGGACGCAGTTGACCTGGACCTCTGCATTTTGGAAATATATTATTCTTTGGTTTCGCGCTGCATGTCTGCATCGTATTTTCATTATTTTGCATATGCATTCCATCCGCTACATCATACATATATGCACCAAAATTATTAGCATGTGCACCGAAATCATCAGCATATGCAACGGCATTGTTAGCATATGCACCCAAGGCATTAGCGTATGCATCGAAATGATACACATATGCACCGGGACGATTATATTTCTCAGGGTCGCTAATCTTTATGCATATGACCTACAACTCACATACAGGCGGAATGTGTCACCTTTGGGACCAGAGTTCATCTTCCACCCATCTGCTCACCTAATGTCGGCGCGCTATGAGCCTCGCAGGCTGCGATCAAGCGCGAGGAGTATAGCGGCGTAACATGTTATATGGAGCCGTCAAAGTAACATGACGATTAGTTTTTCCACGCATCCTTTTTGAATGTAAGACAAGGGTGGCGACACTCCCTGCCGTTTCCCGACAACCGACAGCATCTCATATTACTATAACAACTGGCCTGTCATATTGGCCAGACAAGGTACAGGAGTAAAGGGGGTCCATATCGAAGTGTTATTCGATGTTGTCGAGAGACGTAGTCATCTTACACGAGCATATCAGCAGTCATGACCGTCATCTGAAGTCGATAAAAAGAAGCACCGAAATGGCCTTTTCGGATTTAAAGTCCTGCTCATGTACCTGAGATGCCACACCTGTGATTCGGCCGTCTATACCTCCAGAATTTGCTTAATGACTGTATCTGGAGAAGATTCTTTCCCATGGGCTTGCAATGCTGTGCCTTGCCAAGGAGCCTGTGGTGACGTCACGATGGGATTACCGGATAAACTTGGGGGGGGGGGGGTGGGAGGGGAGGGGGGCGCCCGGCGGATGGACGGATAACACAACTTGTGGAACCGAGCCCGGCGCCGCTTTTTCGTTCTCGAGTACGTGCATAGATAACTGCGGTGTTTCCTACTGCACATCACAAAACATTTCATATTGTAAGCCCTTCAAATTTAACGCTGCAGTATCCCTGCTAATTAGTGTTTGCAACATAGGTTGTCCACCTTTCCCTCATTCTGATTATTCGATTGACCATTTGGTTATTCTGAACCCCAATACTTAGTTAGCTCTGATCTGAACCCAGGGGTCAATCCAGGACGGTCACACTTCCCCGTATAACGAAACGGGCCGGGCGTTTCGACAGCGTGAGCTTCGTTGCATCAGTGTTTTGATGATACAACTTCGGCAAAACAAAATGTCACTGCTCTGCTTTTCAAAGATATTCAAGCCACCCGGCCGCATGCTGACGTCATATAACTTCGTTCAGTGCGACAGACGTCTTGCAAAGAACATTTCCCGACAGCCATAGTGTAGCTATTTTGCCAGTAGCAGATTCATTCGCCGATCACATAAACAGGGAGCGACAGGACGAGGGTTCCGTGCTTCCTGCTGCTTATTACGAGAAATAAACCGAGACGCTGTCCCCCAGCGCCATGCCTACTCGATGCCCATCCATGACTCGCAGCTACCAACCAGTGCCAATCGCCTGCAGCCGGGCACTGGGTGTACCCATGACAGCTCTCCGAGCGGGAGCTGGGCATCGATCTCGGGGCGGGGCAGGGGGCGGGGGTCGGCTTTGAAGCTGCGTGCCAAATGGTGCGGCCAAGGCCGAGAAAACAGGCGTCGTCCGCTGCTGTCTGGGGAAGTGACGTCACCATTGATGCATTGCTGGTGACTGAAGGGGTTGCATGGGGAGGGGGAAGGGGCGTGAGTGATCTGATCGTGAGTGAGGGGGCGTGAGCCGTCGCCACGCTGTAACTGGTATGTGCCTACAGATCATGTGTGCTGCGCTGGAAATTTTCCACACGACCGTAATAAATCACTCCAAGGGCAGGGTCATTTTATGGGGGCAATCATATCGTTGGTTTATTGCTTTACTGACTCATTGCGGCATAGAAACTTGTGAGCCTTGATCCCGCTTGCGCTGCTCATGTTCCCGTGTCAGCCGCGATAATCCCCGCTCGGACAGGTCGGAAGCGTCTTGAAAAAGATAAGACATGACCAGGAGAAGGTTGGACAACAATCCTTAGCCACGGACAGTCCGTTCCGTGCGAGGGACGCTGCTCACCTGCAGTCCTCGAGCGGCTCCACCTGTTGCGGGCAGCTGACGGTCGGCGGGGGCTCCACCGGCTCTGGCGGCTCCGGCTCCGGCTCCTGCTCCGTCTCTAGCTCCTCCTGCTCGGCCAGCTCCGAGTCCAGCTGCATGCGCACCAGGTCGGACGTGCAGGAGGTGACGGTGCTGTACACGCTGTCAGCCACGCCCTCCGACTCGCAGCCGGAGTCGGTGCTGAGCATACTGCTGAGGCTGGCCGGCGGCGGCGCCTTGCCCGCTAGGCCGTCGTCCAGCTCGGCCTCCAGCGTCTGCAGGCTGCCCCAGCGCACCCGGTGGTGCGCGGCCGGCGGCGGCGGGCTGGCGTCGACCGGCGAATCGGGCGAGCCGAGCAGCGGCCGCTGATCGCCGAGCGTCGGGACGCTCGGTACCAGCGCCATCGTCCGCGGCAGCTCACGACCTGCGCGCGACACAGCCGCCGTCACGCCAAGACCGCGCCTCCGTCACGCCTCCGTCACGCCTCAGTCACGCCTCAGTCACGCCCCGGTCACGCAATGACCACGCCGGGCGATGGTGCGCGTAACTGCGGTGCCACCCGCATAGCAACGTGGTAGTGAAGCGCAAGGCTGTGTCAATAACAGCGTCGCCAGGCACCACGGAGCAATGTGCTTTGCGGTTTCAGTGTTTCGTCAAGCACCGTTTCTGTGGTTGAGTGACACTGACCGCAACAGGAGGCCTTTCATTGTAGCTCAGAACGAGAACCATTGGATCACGGTTTCTGGAGACGAGACGACGGGACTCACGTCGAGGCTTCTAGGCCATGACTACATGGTGTCATCAGCGGGCATTACAGTGATCTCATGCAAGAACTTTTGTCTTCCGACCTGAGTTCCACAGGCTAGATGAAGAACAAAGCTCATTACCCATATTGCCACTGAAACAATGCTTCTTGGGAGTCCAATTAGCGCAAGCGCACCGCGAAGGCGCCTCGCGGACAAGTGGACCACAACCCGATAGCTAGACACCGCTGTCTGCCTCAAGGCTAGAGCCCGGATCGTAGAGACTACCTGGCCGCATACGCCACATGTGTCTCCCGTGTGTGAAACGTGTCCAATGCCATGCTTCTATGCAAAAACAATTTTTATTCTTATTTATGCGTTCTATTATATAATAACCGAAGCGTCCGTTCTGCTTATGTGTGTTGCCCGTAGCGTTTCGCCGGCAGAGTCTAGACGAGGCCAGCTGTGGAGCTGTTTTCACACCAAATAAGACCTGAGCAACCCTAGAGTTGACGTTTTCAACGCGTGGGTCGCATGTAACGCTTTCCAGGCGCGACTCTGCACCTCGCGGGGTCCCGACGGAGGCTGGCTGGCCGGATTGGACATGTGCGCTTCGGAGTTCAGAATTTCGAGCGAACGATCATAACACCAACAAGCACTAGATCATTGCAGCTATCACCAACCACGTCAAAGCTTTGCTGAATGAGGGGCACATCATGGGAGCATTCCCGCATTCGCGCATTCCACCGCATGTGGACTGTACGCGCTACATGCGCCAATCATGACAACAGCGTTTGCCATAGCGAGAAGGCGTGGGCTGCCACGCCGAATCTTTCCACCGCACCAGTCGGCCGAGAAGTGATATGTGAGCTTTAGCTTGATCGGTGTAGTCGCATCATGGCGTTGCTGACATGCCGCCCATTTTTCAAAGGAAGCACGCGACGTGTTTCCTTAACATAACATAGCAGGGAAACAGCAAACAAATTCAACGTTTCGGGGACCATCCAGACATGTGTCAAAACTCGACCCTTATCGCGGGAGCTCCGAGTGTCAGCACACAGGGTGAACACTGGTTTATTGTGACCAGGCTGCTAAGTCGAGGTGTTGTGAATGTCTATGTTTGTGTTCGGCGCGCCAATTTCGCCCCACCGTATACAATAAATCAGCGGGTTGCGTCGTGCTGGAGATCTTCATCAGATCTTCATAACTAAACTAGATATGTAAATGCAATCACTTGAATGCCGTAGTACTTCAATTCAACTACAAGCATTCGGAAATTTTAGCACTGCTCTTTCCGCATGACCGTCCGTAACTGGGCGTTATGATGTCCGAAAGTTTCGTCTCCTAGGCATGCAGCTGGAGCTTGACGAGAGGAACATTGCACAAGGATGTGCATTTCATCGTGTGACCAAAATGTTCCTCAGCAATATGCCCCAAACATCACTTCATTATAGTTTCATTCATTCCGCAAGCGAAAAACGAGCGAGGCATATGTGACGCGTAGCATACTGTGGATAAAATAAGTATTGACACGATGCAACTTGATCTTTTCGCCTGAATACGCTACGTTTACAGAACAATGCATGAAGTTTTTCAGTGCTCCTATCGGTAGGATTAGATAAGCAGGATACCCCAGAAACATGGAATTTGTCCTCAATATTCTCTAGTGCAAAAACTTGAAAATTCATCGAAGAACAGCTCGCTGGCACCGACTATCAGTGATTTAAATAAGAACGTTTCATAGGAAGGATTAGTGAAACTCTTCTGAATATAGCACGTGAAAACACAAATTTTGTGACGATTACGTGTTTTCTGACACATCGGAGCTGCCATTACTAAGCATTTAATTCAGGAATTTTAACTTCACTGAAGTTTGAACTTAAGCTTAACGCATTTCATTTCGACGCAAGAGCACAGGCGTGCAAGCTTTGAGGATAAAGTCGGCGACGAAATGTTTATTTTTACGCGACGCTTGGCTCCCAAAACGGTTTTCACTGTACGTTTTGGTGAATGTCACGACAAACTATTACAGCGTGCATTCCTAAACCCTACATGGGGCTTTCATGGTAATACATTTCCAAACCGAAATCCAGAAAGAAGGAAATTTTGGTGAAGGCCACAATAAAATATTAAAGCGTGCATTCCGAAACCTCACAAGGGCCCTTCCATGGTCATACATTTCCAAACCAGAATCCAGAAGGAACCAGAGCTACAGAGCTCGCTGCCTCTCGGTGCCCACCCTTTCTGTCAGGGTGAGAAGCAAGTGACGCCATATAGCCTCAGAAGCTCGGTGCGACGTAAAACCCCACCGGCAACATCCGTTTACGGACCGCACTGACCCCTCGCGCTTCTGTGTACTCAGGGGCCCTCTGGTCGCTCGCGAGCCGTTTTAGCTGATCAGTGCCTGTCTGACCGCTGAGCGGCCCCTCTAGCTATTGAATAGCCTCTTGTGGGTGGGATTCCTCTCTGACAGCTTAGGAGCTTAACTGGTCGCCAAAATCCCCTTGGTCACCGAAGCAAAGTTTTGATCACTAGTGGCTCTTCTTCTGCTGCCTTCCACTGAGTAGAACTCTGCCCTGCCATGTGCTCAGCTGCTCTGGCTATCGAGGTACATCGTCGTTTTTTTTCGCGGTCGTGCATAGCAAATGCAGCCGCAGATCGAGTTTAACGTGAGACTTCGATAAGTCGCGAGGGTAGAAGAAGACTGGTTTTGTTATTGAATTATCCCATTGTCTAGGGCCGGTGTGTCTGCATTCTTCGCAGCCGCCGTTATCCTGGCATAAGTTGAGCGACATCGTATAAATAACTTTTCGGTTGTGTACATGCCATTGTAAGTTGCGGTCCTGGAAGAGGCTTTCGACGATGTGCCGATTCCTGATGACACGACTGGGCATGGACGCCATTTCCATTTGTTGTCATATGGTATTGCGCATCGCTGTTGGCGACAATTTTGTCCGTAGAAATTCGGTCGGCGACAAAAAAACACACCTTTAACCCCTGTAAAAGCAGGTCAGCTCTTAGTACAAGTTCAGGTGGGAAAAGTCTATATGATTTTGATATCTGAAAGAACCAATTGGTGTATCGTGCAAATAAAACCGATGGCAACATCAAAATACAGGTACTGCTTAAGCTGCACAGGAAAACATCTACGGGCTAGGTCAGTTATGCATGATGTCGACTGCTACTTGCCAACAAAGTGGCATCTACAGTCGGCTACGTGTCAGATATTGCTCATCGCACCAAACAACATTCGAACCTCAATGACGGTGCCTTGTAATTGTCGCCGTTTATATGGAAACGAAGATGATACACGGAGGGCATATAGCGTGATTTACACATCGCACGTTCGGTAGTTGTCGGGTTGCAAGATTACACCTCCGAAACGAGGGACCTCGGTCGCCAATACAAACAACGGAAAAGTTTTTCGTCTGCAAGCTGTTCGTCACTGTTTCGGTGATCACGAACGGTCTTCTGTTAGTTCGGTACGTCGAGTCGCATAGAGTTCTGTCGCTCTGGACTGTGAAGAGAATGTTCCACATCTATCTGAAGATCTTGAGGCAAGCATCAGATATGATGGAATAAACTCCCTTGTAACTATTGGAGTACTTCAAAGTGGAAAAGACTGCTTTAAACAGCAACACTTTTCGATTCCATAAATACGCTACTCAATACGTTATTGTTTGATTGCGTCATGGAACCGTTCTATGATGTTGAGGACTACCAAACTAGCTGTGCGAAATTGCCACTCATAGTGCTTTAAATACGTCGAAGGATGGCAACACGGACTGGGAGTGTTCGTTGAGCCGAATATCGTTATGCACTCGTGTTTTAGCCTTTTCCCCTCGTGTGCTTGCATATCTATCCATGAGTTTAAGATGCTAACGCGTATTCGCATACTGAATTACAAAGCTAAACTTCTTCGATTACAGGTTACAAGTCTTATTTGCGTAACAACTAATAAGTCAAGAAGCCATGTCCAACTTTTATATTATGTGGCACAAAGCGTACTTCGTGATTAAAGATTGCACAGCCTTCTCGGCATTGTTTGAGAGCCAATTTAAGTTCACTATGCTTGGAAATCGCACTCACGAACACCAGATCTGAACCGCTGGACGATAACATCCTTCCTGGCCTTGAACGCCGCCTGGTCTGCGGCGTGGCTGGATTTGAATGGTGTTGCTATGGCGCCATGCATGCCTGAATGGCGTTGAGATAGTCTACCCGAAATAATCTGCACATCTTCGCGGGCGTACAACTCAGAAACTAGAAGTTTAGAAGTCTTAAGAGGGACAGGGCTGTGAACTGCACCGAGTGATCTTCAAAATGGCTATTTCAGCTCAAAATCCTGTACAAATGTAGAACACTTCCTGCATTGATTGCACGTTGCATTATGGGACGATTCAATCAAAAGGTTGCGCGGACCGCGTTAACGTGTAGCCTTTTGCCGAGCGCAAGCGACTATGCACAGTGGTCACATCGACGCCCAGAAGACGCTCGATAGGAAATGAGCCAGTGGCCCCATGTGAAAACCTAGGATTCCATAGCTGATATTATTCTGTCCTGCGTTTACATGACATATTTCATCATGCGATACATTTCATTTCACTTACGATATCACAAACAATGATGCAACCGCAAACGTCACCACATGTTCCGCGTAGTGCCACCATACTAAGCACCA